TTCCTGTGACAGATAAAGCACAAGGACCTTAAGCTTTGGCATGGAGACAAAAGAGCTGCGAGTGTCGCCCCCAAGCATGTGAGTGGGAGTCAAGACACAGTCCACCCGTCCGGCTTCCGTGGCGTGACCCTGAGCTACAATGGCAACAACCTGAGACTCGGGCTAAGCGGGATGCTGTCGTCTCCAGGCTTCTCTTCCACCTCGGGGCCAGTGTCCGAGGCCAGCCAGGGCGGCCTGGCTGCGCAGGCGGCGGCACACTTCTCCTGCAGAGCGACACATTTCTCTTTCCTGAGTTAAGATCCGCCATTGGGGCGAGCCACGAGCCCTGTCCTCGGGATGCGAGAGGCAGACGGGTGATCTCCGTGCGATTCCCGGGGTCAAGAGACAGCTACTGCACTTACAGCCAAGAACCCGGAAGGGGAGCTTTCTCTGTCAAACGCACAGCCCACATGCTTACCCAATGGCCTGGGTCCATGGCAGGCCCTGAGCACCCCTCCCCAGTCAAAGCAAAAGAAAAGCCGTGTCCAGTGCCCTTTGAGGGTCTGTGGAGAGGCAGGGACGAGAGGAACAGCCACCAAAGACAGAGGCAGCCAAGTGCAGGTGACACAGCGCAGGCGCACGGGAGCGAACACGCTTGTGAACACATCCGTGCCGGGACGCGGCCACGCCCACGTGCCGCCTGCACAGCTGAGCCCGCTGCCTCCGCTGTGAGCACCCGGCATTTCCACAGCGCTCGGGGGAGGGAGCGGAACCTGACTTGTGCAAAACGGAGTTTAGCTTCCTCAAAGGAAAACAACCAGCAGCAGCGGCGGAGGCAGCTGGCCAGGCAGAGAGGATCTGCTACTCACTTCACATAGTACTTGTGCAGCAGACTTAGATTCTCCTGAAACAGCCGTAAGTAGCTCTCCAGTGAGTTCTCATTGAGGGCCAGGTACAGCCAAGCTCGACCTGAAACAAGCATCAAATGTGATTTATTAGCAGACCCTGCCTCCCAGAGCCGGGCAAATGTGGGAAGGTAAGAAAGAACTAACCAGTTATTCACTATTTAAAAACCCAAACAGTTTGCTGATGCTGTTCAGGCCCCGTCTGCATTCAAATGCCTTGAGTCAATCGGCTCCCCGGCGGGAATGCTCCTGGATGCCGGGAATTTAAGAACGTGTCAGAGGAAATGAAGTTTGGATTTCTGAGCGGGAGCGTTCGCAGCGGCAGCCACATGCTGAAGAGCTGAGCTCAGCCGGCCAAGAAACAAACAATCTCATGTGACCTACAAGTCCAATCAAAAGCTAAACCAGCTGCTGTTTCAACAGGGGCCAATGCCAAGGAACGGCTCAGGCAGGGTTAACGGCCACTCCCTAAACCCTTGCAAACGAGGAGCAGGCGGTGCTGGAGGACAATGTGAGCGCCACGAGGGGGCTTCACCTGAGGGCCAAGGATGCAGCTCAGCTCAGCTCTGCTCTCCTCGGCCCCCGGGATGGAAGGGAGACAGGGACGGGCTGCTGAGCGGGGGCCTCCCAGCAGCACTGGAATTGCAGCCAGCACTCTGCTTTGGAAACGCCTGGCTCTGAGCTTTGGGGGCAAACCCCAGAAGGGGGCACTCAGGAGACCCCAGTTTTCTGGTGCTGTGAAACCCTGCACTTGGATTCCCCAGTCTGTATTTGCATGGTTCAATCAGGCCTCAGGGTGCCTATGTCCAAAGCTGAGGGTCCAACGGGGGGACTGAGCATCCCACTAAGGCCTGGTTACTGGCTTGCCGAGTTCTCAAGAAAACGTTCTCCTTCCAGGTCGTCGAACAGCCTGTGCTCCCTGGGGTCACCACACAAGGACTCCCTACAGCTGGGGAGGACAAGGCGGCCAAGGGACAGACTGATGGCTGTACAACAGGGTGGGAATCCTAGAACCCTACAACTGGAAGGGCCCTCAAGTCCAGCCCCCTGCCCATACGGCAGGACCCAGCACCATCTAGTCCAGGGGTCTCCAACCTTTTTACACCCAAGATCACTTTTCAAATGTCAGGGCAAGCCACGATCTACCCCCCGCTTCCCCAAGACCCTGCCCCTCTCCAAACCTTTCTGCCGACTCCCCATTGCTAATGGAAACTCACTGTTAATTACATCATTACGCCTGAGCCACTTTGCTAGGGCTGCAGCCGGGAGAACGGTTTAATTTCAATTATGAAACAGACGAAGCGTTTTCACGTGCTCAGGGTAGTCGATCAAACTTCATTTTAAATAAAGTGAAACATTCGGTCCAACACAAACGGTTTCGCTGTTTTCGTTATTGATGGGAGAGGTGGGAGCCTGTTTGGGTCGGGGCCACTGACCCACAGGAAATCACACACAAGTGAGAAGCAAAAAACCCTCCTCCCAAACCCCCAGCCCCCACTGCTGTGGCCCCGCACTGCACTCCCCCGGAGCCGCAGCCCTCCCAGGGCAAAGGGACGGGGCAGGAGGGCTGAGGTGCAGGGCTCCCCCTAGGCCAGATTACTCTTCAGGGCTTCTGGACTTGGTGGATTTGGGGGACCCCTTAGGCTCTGCGGTGAGAACAAAAGTGGGTTCAATGTGAGGGACAGGGCCTCCAGCAAGAGGAACAGGGGTGCAGGATCCGGGAGGGAGTTTGGGGGCAGGAGAGGGCTGGGACAGTAACACAGAAAAGGTGAGAGGGTGAGAATGCAGCAAATAGCTAGTTGAGCAGAGAAGCAAGGGAGGGTCTGTCTACACTACCCTCCTCGTTCCAACTAGCGGGGTGATGTAGGCAACCGCACTTGCAAATGAAGCCCGGGATTTGAATTTCCCAGGCTTCATTTGCATGAAGCTGGCCGGCGCCATTTTTAAATGCCGGCTAGTTCGAACCCCGTGCACTTAAACCCCGTGCCGGCAGTTCGAACTGCCACGAGGAGTACAGCTAGTTCGGATCAGGAGGGTAGTGTAGACATACCCGGAGTGGGGGGGAAAGGCAAGTGCAGCTTCTGCAAAGGAAAATTGTAACCCCCCCCACTTCTTCCCTCTGCTCCAACCGCGCTCCCCTCAGCCCCGTGATCCTCCCCCACCTGATCCCC